CACGTTCTCCAGATTTAACTTCACCAGATTTTTACTTGTGGGGTTATTTGAAAAATGTAGTGTACAAAGAAGTTCCGACAACTCGAAAAGATATGAAAAACAGAATAAAAAGAGCCTGCAATAATATTCCTCGGCAAGTTTTGTTGTCTACCATTACAATTTTTCAGAAACGGCTCCGTTTATGTTTACAACAGAATGGTAGTGTATTCGAAAATTTATTAAATGGATAAATTTAATAATGAGCGATTCTAAGCCTGATAGCCGTCGCACGCACACACGTACACACACACACACACACACACGCACACGCACACGCACACGCACACGCACACGCACACGCACCCGCACCCGCACCCGCACCCGCACCCGCACCCGCACCCGCACCCGCACACGCACACGCACACGCACACGCACACAGAGAGAGAGAGAGAGAGAAAGAGGGCGGTTTGGAGTCGCAAAATACGTACACTGCATGGGGGTGGAAGCTTTATACTTAAATTGTAAACTTTGGAACACTGTAACTCAGTGAAAAATGATCCTATTTCAAAAAATGAAAAACCGTTGTATTCGTCTCAATGCCAGCTACAACATTTAATAGAAAAAAAATCGACTGCCAATTGAAAAAATGGCCGCCATGCAGAAGTCTAAAAAGTGGCGCCACCTACAATTAATCTGATGTGGCCAACTTCTGCCTCTCTCGAAATCATAAAACTATTGTCTGAAACAATTTTTCCTATCTCTTTTACTTTAAGAAATATTCAGTTGAATCACTTAAAATGATACACCCTGTATGTAGAATATATAATATATATTCTCTACATGTTTGGAGTGCAAAATATATCTAATAAAATGATTATTCAATATTAATATATTTATATTTGTCCCTTTCCTACGCAAAAACATGTATGTCTTTTGCACATACTAATTCTAGAAAAGGTTTTTAAATTAATTTCAAGCAAAAGCAAATAAAACAGTTTGTTTTCGCTTAGAATTAATTTAAAAACCTTTTCTGGAATTAGTATGTATAAAAGGCAAATTATAAATTAATTAATATATACAATAAGATGTAAGAGAATGGTTACACTGCAGTTATATTACAATAATGCTTTAAATTATATTACTGCTGTATAAATGTTATATAACATCGCTTTATTTATATTATGTAACTGCAATAATCCATGTATGCGAAATTACAACTAACGTCTGCATAACTGTGACGATCGTGTTATATTGCGTGTTACATTTCGTTATATACTGGCAATATAATCGTTATATATCTGTGTTTGCTGGGATAGGAGAAGTGGAGAATATTTCTGTCTCAGATGCCCTAAAACATGAAAACTGGCGTAATGCTATGTCTGAAAAACTCAGCTCTCTGATCAAAATAAAAACATGGGACTTAGTAAAACCCTCTAAGCAGGTGCAACCTTTATCCTGTCGCTGGATCTTACGACGAAAACAGGATGGTCGTTTTAAAGCCAGATTTGTCGCCAGAGGTTTCGAACAGAAAGAGGGAATAGACTATTCCGGAACTTCTAGCCCTGTTGCTCATCATGTGTCTATTTGATTGATCTTCAGTCTCGCAGCCTCTAACAAGATGAAATTGATGACTTTTGACGTGAAGGTAGTCCTTTCACCTACGCACCTAGTCAAGTAACAGTCCGTCATGAGGTAATTGAAAACAAACATTGCAACATTCCAATAATTATAATAATATAAAATATGATTTTACACGCACGATTTAATCGTATTTAATTATTATTTACTAATTAAAAAAATATCACAATAGTAGTACTGTTGGACTCGATTTTTTTATCCAATTAACGTACTTTTGGCAACACCGCAGTAGCTAGTTTCTTGTAACCTACAAATTTGTTATCACGTCTCTTGTAACCTACAAATTTGTTATCACGTCTCCATTCCATGAGTAATGAAACGGTATAGTTATACTATTCATGTTGTACACGGGCGTAAGAAAGGATGCTTCGTTTCGAAATCCAAATATCGTTGGAGACAAAATGTGCTTGCGTCAAAAAAAAAAGCTGTCCTCCCAGCTGTCTCTGACGTGCGCGATAAATTTGAAATCTATGGTCGCCGTATTGTAGAACTGAAAACTCTTGCTCTCAATCTTTGGTGCACAGCTTGTGACATTCCTCTATCACTTCGTTACGTCGAAAGTGAGCAGAAATTTAGTCTGGCAAGCACACTTGATGTGAAATGTGTAAAGTGCGATAAAAAAGTACACAATCCATACAAATAAACACCTACCAAATGAGAGATTATACCATGTGAACTACAAAGCGGCAACAGGTATGTTGATTTATTATAAAATGCGTAAATGCATAGCGTTTTGTTCTTTGCTATATTTTGAAGCTTACGTCATTTAATTTCTTCCTTGTAATGCATTGCAGCAATGATAGACAGTGGCGTTGGAGAATCGCAACTGAACATAATACTTTCTGCTCTAGATATACCAACTTTTTCAACTTCCACACTAAAACGTTATGAGAGAATTGTCGGTCCAGCTATCGAAAGGGTAGCTCAAAATAGTTGTCGAAAAGCTATCAAGGTGGAAAAATCCCTAACAGTAGCTGCAAGCATTACTCCTGAGGCAGAGCTATCAAAGTGATTTTTTTCCACTCAATAAAAATAGAATTAAAGAAAAGTTCAATTTGTTATCAGATTACACATAGTCAGACATTGGGTTGTATTTTCAGCAATCCCGAACGATCTAATGATGAAGAAAACAGTATCACGATGGCAGAGGTGAATCAAGAGGAGAGCGTCAAGATAGTCGCATCATACGACGCAGGGTGGCAGAAGCGCGGAACTGGTCGAGCTTATAACAACCTCTCTGGTTTGAATTTATGTAACCACGAGACTTCAAATTCTTTATAGCTATTTCGTAATTTGCGTCGATATTTAGATCAAGGCAGTCTCATCGGGCATTGGTCGAAGCAAATCCTCGGGTACGCAGTTCGATGCAAGGCATGTGCATTGTGCGCACGGGGGCACTCCTCCGACAATCATGACTGTCGTAAAAACTATGAAGGTAGCGCAAAGTCTATGGAGCCTAACATGGCTGTGGAGTTGATCATTTATAACCAGCATCTGAAGGACGAAAACGTTTGCGTTAACGTATTGATTGGCGACGACGACTCATCAACTATTGCGGCAGTGCGGCGCGAATCTACCACACAAATAGATAAGTGGTCTGATCTAAACCACGCATCCAAGGCGATGATTAATTCGTTGTATGGTTTGAAGCTGCCAACTAAAATCATCGAGTATTTTTTACGATGCTTTACTTGCGCGATAAAAAAGAATGAAGGCAATCCTGAAGCAGTAAAGTGTGCATTAAGAAACGTCGTGTCTCACGCTTTTGGTAATCATGAGCGTTGTGGCGAGTGGTGTCGCTATTCTAGCATAGGTGAAGAGTATCAGCCCAAAGGCCTTCCTCATGGAAAGCCCTTATCAGATCCACAGCTAAAATCTGCACTTACTTCTGTCTTCACGAGATTCGCAAATAATTCTGACAAATTGGCACCGTGCGGTTCTAGCCAAGGCAACGAATCCTTTAACAGTTCAGTTGCCAGCAAGGCTCCAAAATCAAAATACTACGCAGCATCAGAGTCCCTCAATTTTCGAGTAGCTGCATCAGTTTGCCAAAAAATATTGGAGTGACCTACATTGAACAGGTGATTACTTTAGTACACAACTTGCCTGTATCTAATCGATTTCTCATCCGTTCAGCCGATTTCCAACTCTAATCTTATTTACTGCTATATTCAAGGTTTATAAAGAGCTGAATCTGTCGCCGAGCAAAGCCACGGTAAAATTCCGCGAATCGAAAGAAAGTGTCAGAAAACAAAAAATCGAGAATTTACGGACCGTCGAAGCAAAACGAAGAAGACTGTTTCATAAGAAAAATCGATCAAGTAAAATGGGATCCGTATAGCGTCGCGAAGTAATTACGTACAATACCGACAACAGATTGAACAGTGTGTCTGGATTCATTGATGAGAATCCTTACCAAGGTATCTTCTGCACTTACTCTTATAGACGCTGGTTGTCATGAACGGTCATCCCCAATATAAATGCGAAAAATATTTACTTTCAGCTGATACTTCCGACCACCAAGGTGCGAGGATAGTGATTTTTGACTTGGAAACAACCGGACTGTCGAAGTCCGCAGAAATATGCCAGGTCTGTCACTATTGTTGTGATAGCTAGGAGGCGAAATACTTGACTCAGGTTTTCCTACACTTTCAGATAGCAGCTGTGCACGAGAAGGAAATATTTAATGTATATATCGTTCCAGCGGGAGACATGTCTTCCAGGGCCGCAGAAGTCACTGGGCTTCAAGTCCATGGGGGTGAAATGTTTTTGAATAACCAACAAGTTGACACAACGCCACCTTAAATGGCATTCAAAAACTTCATTGCTTATTTACGGAGTATCGGGATAAGTATAATTCTCACAGCTCACAACGGATTTAGGTGAATTTCAGAGAATTAATTTTATTCATGCACTAACAGTAAAACGCTATTTTTTAAATAGAATTTTAGGTCAAGGAAACGTGTATATCGCACATTATTAAAGTCAAAATGCGTCTGATAATGGTCGAATATTTCATCGGTTATCATATGATTTGTATTAGATTCGATGCACCGTTGATATTGCGACACATGAAGAAGTTCGGACTTCTTGAAGAATTTCAGTTTGTCGTAATGGGTTTCGCAGATACGTTGCATCTCTTTCGCAATTTACTTCAGAATCGGAAGAAAGAAAAGAAAAGTTATACCCAAACAGCCCTCGCAGAAGATTTCTTGGGGTCTGAGTCCATAGCAGGAGCTCATAATGCTGTTACCGACGTCTCAATTCTAAAAAGATTAGTTTGCAGTAGCAAAATTACCGACGATATGATAAGGGAAATGATAAAAACGACCGGTGAAATCTTGCGTGCAGAGAATAATGCTGTCGTCCATGCACACAACAAAGTCACTCTCGAAAGTTTGAAAGACATCTCGGCTGGCATGAAAACCAAAATGGCAAAAGCCGGCATCACATTGGAAATACTTGAAAAGACATTCGCGGATTTTGGACCGGAGGAGATTTGAATGTTGCTTTGCGAAGATGTTAGAGGCCAAGCCTCAAGTAACGAAAAAAAATCAAGTACTTATAGCGATTGTGCAACAGCTCGAACAGAGCTCAAACTTCAAACATTAATTAAAGTTAAAGTGTATAATTTATCATAATATAAGTTTGAATAAATATTGTATGTATAACAATTTAACAATATTTGAGTATTTTTTATTCATATGCTCGGTATACGTGTGCTGCATTATTCATTACTCCACTGAATTCTATCTTTCTTTGAGTCTCAAATTTTTCACTCCATGTATGGCAAAGAGAGAAAATAATATATATAGGTAGAAAAAATAGAAGTTACCACAGATAAAATAAAACAAATAAAAAAGAAAAGAGTTTGCAAAACAATCCTTTTTACAATTTTCGCAGAATTTCGGACTAACATGTATCTGAAAAACAGTTAATTACTTACATAATGCAATATCACTATTTAATATAATTTTTTATTACATTTTACATGCCATAAAAATATTTATTTGTTATTAAGGGGCGCATTTTTTTCTTTCGCCTTGAGCGCCGAAATGTCTAGTCCCGGGTCTAACATACAGCGTTGCCAAATTTACATCGCCACCATGACGGTACGAGTAAAGCAATATGCGATTCGATCCACTACTTATTTAACCTCATATATCAGAGCAAAACTTGTGCTAAGCCCTTATTTTCAAGGTACGTACGAAATCCGAAAACTTCAGGGAATATTTTAAGACATTAATAATGTATTCATCTAATCGCTAAGTACATGTATTATTCGTTGAAAATCTCGGCCGTGGCGATTTGCATCATTCTATCTTTCTCGTTCATTAGATGTAAACAAGGATAGAATAACAATATCACGCTCCACGAACGCACATTTAGAATGAATTATTTCTTGTAAAGTTGTGCTAACCTCACCTGATTTTTGCGTACAACCTTATTACTGTATATTTAACATATATTAAATTTATATATTTATCTAATACTTATTCTCATGAAAGAACTACCTTAAGACGGCATTCCTATATGGAAATCTAAAAGAAGATATTTTTATGCATCAACCGAAAGGCTTTAATGATGGTATTGGTCGTATCTGTAAGCTAAAGAAAAGTCTTTACAGCCTGAAGCAAGCTTCAAAAAACTGGAACAATAAATTTTCCGAGTTTCTGCAGTCACTTGGATTTGATAACATAGATGATGATCCCTGTGTTTACTACAACGAAGACAGAAACAGAAGCATAATACTCGCCGTATTCGTCAATGATGGACTTGTTGCTGCAACATACGAGGATGACATGATTGAAGTCTTAAATAAACTAAAGCGAAAGTTTGAAATCACTTTTGACATTGCACGAGATGACAAACTATCATACCTTAGCATGCAAATACAGAACAGTCCAAATGGAATTTTTGTTAGTCAGTCAAAATACACGGAGAAAATCCTTCAGCGTTTCAAATTCGATTTGTTAAATCCCGCATCCACTCCAATGGAACCTGGAATAGTGAGCTGAAGAAAATCGTGTAAATGACAAACCGCTTGAAAAGTCTGAACCCTATCGTGAAACCATAGGAAGTCTATTATATCTAACCACTATATCTCGACCTGACATCAGTTTTGCCGTTAACTGTCTAAGTCGATTTTGCAGTAAACCGATGATAAGTCACTGGAAGATGATTAAACGAATTTTTCAATATCTAAAGGAGACTGTTTGGGGGGCAAATGGCTAAGGGGTGCTCAGTGGCTGCGCATATTGTCGAGAGATCCGTAGCAATAAATCACTGAAAGTGCACACATCCCTATCAAGCCCTACTTCTACCTCCGAGCGGTGCTCCCCGGGTAACGCTAACAGGAGAGGGCGAAGGGCGAGCTGCCGGCGCCCTAAAACCAGTACAACTCGGCTAAGGTATGGTAACCCCAACAGAAGAGTCCCTGGCCCCCCAGGTTGGGGGTTGGGCGCTAGGCTAACAACCTGCCCCGTAAAACCAACTTGTTAAGAAACCAGAAACTGGGCTTCGAATGGAACGGTCACAACGGCGACGACTCGGGCTACGTAATATGGAATTGGAAATGGGAACGTGGAATGTAAGGACCTTGTATGAGACAGCAGCGGCTAAAAGCCTGGTAGAGGAGATCACAAAATGTGGAATCCAGATCCTAGCAATCCAAGAAACAAGATGGAAAGGAAACAGCACTATGAGAATAGGAGATTATGATTTTTTCCACAGTGGAGGCCAGAAACACTTCCTCGGAGTGGGTTTTGTGGTACACAAGGACCTGCGAGACAATATAATGGAGTTTCGACCGGTCAGTGACAGAGTATGTACTATCAGAATAAAAACCAAATTCTTTAATCTTAGTCTGATCAATGTGCACGCGGAAACTAAGGAAAAGGAAGACTCCACCAAAGACTCATTCTATATAGTATTCTATATTCTATATAGTATACTGGAACAAGTATATGATACAACACCATCTAATGACATTAAAATGATGCTGGGAGACTTGAATCCTAAAATCGGAAGATAAACAATATACCGCCCGATCATAGGGAAGGAGAGCCTACACGCAGAGTCAAATAATAACGGCCTCCGGGTGATAGATTTTGCGACTAGCAGGAATATGGTAGTCAGTTCAACATACTTCCCTAGGAAAAACATACATAAAAGAACATGGAACTCGCCGGACGGCTCAATGTGCAACCAGATTGACCACGTACTAATAGAGAAAAGAGGAGCATCCAGCGTACTCCAAGTAAGAACGCACAGAAAGGCAAATGTGGAGTCGGACCATTTCCTGGTAGGAGTTAAGTTCCGGTGCCGTATGTCGAGTAGGCAAACAAAAGCACACACTAGATGCCAAAAGTTCAATGTGGATAGATTGAAGAAAGAAGGAACAAATGGAATCTACCAGTCAAGACTGGAGGAAAGACTGGGGGAAAGGCTAACAGGAGCTATGCAGGACGAACTGTCGTTGGAGGACAGCTGGGAAACTCTGAAAAGTATAATAAAACAGACCGCGGAAGAAACGATTGGATACCGGAACATGAGAAAGAGAAACGATTGGTACGACGAAGAATGCAGAGAGGCTATAGAAAGAAGGAATGACCTCAGAACACAATAGCTGTCCCGACCCACGAGACAGAGAGAAAAGGATTATAAAACAGCAAAAAGTGAAGCGAAAAAGATCTGCAGAAAGAAAAGGCGTGAATCCACCAATGACCGAGTACTGCAAATGCAAAAGAATTTCCATGAACAAAACCCAAGGGGAGCCTTTCGGGAGCTGAACTTCTTCCGAAGAGGATTTAAACCGGCCCCCAACATATGCAGAGACTCAAGAGGAACAGTGGTGGTGGGAAGGGAACCAGTGGCCAAAAGATGGAAAGAGTTCTTCCAACAACTACTGAATAAGGACTCGACCCAGAACAGGGAACACCAGTCGGACCCCCGCATGTGGAATAACAACTCAGTGGCATAGCTGGAGGATAACCCACCTACCTTAGAAGAGATATCTAAAGTAATAAGATTCTTAAAAAATAACAAAGCACCCGGAAAAGACAATCTACCAGCCGAACTTTTCAAGCACGGTGGACTGCCAGCCCTGAGGGCCATACACAAGATAATCCAGAAAGCTTGGGACGAGGAAGCCATCCCCAAAGAGTGGGAGGAAGGGATAATCTGCCCTATCCATAAGAAGGGGGACAACTTAGACTGTAAAAATTATCGGGGAATCTCTCTGCTAAATACTGCATATAAGATTCTTACTTCAATCATCAAAAACCGTCCGGAACCATACGCAGAACGGGCCCTGGGAGAATATCAAGCAGGTTTCCGAAACAACAGATCAACAATAGATCAACTTCACACAGTAAGACAAACCCTGAAGAAGTGCTGGGAGTACAACATCGACGTATACCAAGTCTTTGTTGATTTCAGACAAGCCTATAATAGCATAGACAGAGAAAAACTATACACCACGATGCTGGACCTAGGAATTCCACCAAAGCTAGTCAGGCTAACAAAAGTAACCATGAATTCATCACGTTGCGCTGTCAGAATTCAGGGAAAACTGGGGACGGAATTTGCCTTTGACAGAGGACTGAAACAAGGAGACGGGCTGGCTCCCATGCTTTTCAATCTGGCATTAGAAGGAGTTGTGCGGAAAATGGAGGTAGACATCAACGGTGAGCTTTGCTACAGATCCAAGCAGTTGGCGGCCTACGCGGACGATATAGATTGCCTCGTAAGATCCGTGTCGGAACTTCATGAAACCTTCAGAAGATTGGAGGAGGCAGCAAGAAGAATTGGGCTACAGGTGAATGAGGACAAGACCAAGATGATGATTATGGTATTTATTATGGTATGATTATGTCAAGAAAGGGAGGCGGGTCAAGGCATAGAGGCAACTTTGGAAGCTATACATTTGAAAATGTAGAGGAGTTCAAATACCTAGGCTCAATAATCACCTCAGACAATAACGAAGCCAGAGAGGTCCAGGCAAGAGTCAAGGCGGCAAACAGGGCGTACTTCTCCTTAATTCCAATAATGAAATTGAGAGACGTACGCAGAGATACAAAAATCCTGCTCTACAAGACGCTAATACGTAGTGTGGCTACGTATGGTTGCGAAACCTGGGCGGTCACGCAGAGGAGTGCAAGCGTTTTGGATGCCTTCGAAAGGAAAGTCCTGAGAAGAATCTACGGCCCGACACAGGAGGATGGCATGTGGAGAATCAGATATAACCACGAGCTGTACTGGTTATATGGGGCACCCAAACTATCCACATATATAGGCCTCATGAGGCTCAGATGGGCCGGGCATGTGCAACGACTGGATGCGGGGAGGATGCCGAGGAGAGTGCTGGAGACGAGATTTTTGGGAGGACGCCCGAGGGGAAGGCCGAGGAACAGATGGGAGGACGGTGTGACCGCGGATGCGAAGGCACTGCTGCAAGTGAACAACTGGAAGAGAGGCCGCGGATCGGGACGTCTGGAGGTCCAAAATTCGGGAGGCCATGGCCCGCCCTGGGCTGTAGTACCATCGAAGAAGAAAGGAGACTGTTCACAATGGAATATTTTTCAATGGGGATACTAAACTCGTTGCATATACAGATTCCGACTATGGAGAAAATACACTCACAGGACACTCAACCAGTAGAGTTCTTATAATTCGAGGCGGCCCTGTTATCTGGTATGCTCAAAAACAACGTCTTGTAGCCACATCAACTGCCGAAGCTGAATATCGAGCTGCCGTATCATCAATTGATGACATTTGCTGGATACGACGTATCGGAAGTGAACTTGCATTTCTATAGATAAACCAACAACATTATGTGTAGACAATAAATCTGCTATCCACATGTTACAAAATACACATGAAGGAAAAATAACGAAAGGCAAGAAACAAATCGATATTCCGAGAAAATTCATTCAGGAACACATTGGAAAGACAGTAGAACTAAAATATGTCAAAAGTTCCGATCAACTTGTTGATATACTGACAAAACCACTGTCTCGCAGAATTTTGGAACAGCTGCGAAGTAAAATAATTAAGGAGGAGTGTGTTGAGTTGTAATTGTTTTACTGGTGATCAGACTTATGACCAATTACAGTTCGAATTTATCTAGACGACTTTCATAGTTATATTTATTTCATGCTCTCTACATTACTGCGAGCCGTGCGAGCCGCGTGCAAAACGTGCGCAAAAAAGAGTTGTAAGCGACTGTAAAAAGCATTGTAAGCTACTGCAAATGAAAGTAAAGCAGGATTCAATTATATAATTTCGAATAAAAGGTATGATGTAGGCAGTGCAATACGGAATGTATATTATTTTTTTTGTTAAAGCGTTTATATATGATCTGTAATATTTGTATCAACATTATTGTACATTACGTTACAGGCACCTTTTATTCTGCCAAATTCAATACTTAAATACATATTCTCGACATCACAATAAATTTAGTCTTTGAAATCCATACAATTAGTAACATATCCCACCAACCACCGCCCATCACTCCTTTCCCTTCTTTCCCTAGAAAACTGTTTTCACCCTTTTTCATACCTAAACAGGCCACAGGGAGATGTTGATCAATCCCGGACCTGTATCAAAATCCGAATCATGATAAACTGAGTATGAATTAAGTTTTAAGTAAAATTAAATTTTTAACCCTCTCTTTAAAAAAAAAGGTAAAGGGTAAGGGGTTGGTATTAACCTCTGTGGAACCGGTAGCATCCTCGCGAGGGTGCTCTAGATTTCTTCTTAAATCCTGCACTTGTGGTAAGCCAGTGCATGTTTCAAGAAAGACATGTTACATTTTTATTGCAACAAAAGGATAAAATATAATATTATAAAAATTAGAAATTAAAAATATAACAAAGTAAAAGTTACTGTTATTCCTAGAAAGTAATAATGAAATATCTATTAACAACGTATAGATTTTCATTTTCTTATAATACTGCATTGTGTTTTTAAAGATATTATCATTAAATAAATAAAAACTACATAAAAAATATAAGTAATATTATTAATCTTCTGAGTGGCCATATATTTCCACTTCTTTTGGAGTGGCAATCAGGGTCATTGTCTTCCATGTATCTTCCTTGTATTTTCTCCTCTTAATTGCTAGAAAAAAATCTCCAAAAATTATCGAAAATTTATTTATCTTTCTACTTGAAAACATAGTTGTTTTGTCAACAATAAATTGTTAAGTATTTTATTTTATTTATTTTATTTCGAATCTGGCTGCTTCCGAAAAATAAACGCTTCTTAGAATGACCCGGTCACCAATGTCTCTGCCCCGATAGGAAAATTGCGCTAATATTGTACAATAATTGCATCACTCAATTGAGAGGAATTTCACAATTATTGCGCGAAGATGGTTCCTCATAACGTAGCGTTCTTGCCGACATGAAGTTTTTGAATAATATTTGCACAAAAATTGAGCAAGTCAATTTTAAGTTTTTGCACGCATATTTCAATATTTAGAAGCAAAATCACTCCAGTATACTTCAGCAAACACCGATATATAACAGTTACATACATATATACCACAGTTCATCATATTTTACATATGAGAAAGAACGCTACATTATCGGCGATTCAGTAAACACAGAATAAAACTTAAATCTATTTCTTAATTATTTCGCAATTTTTTTCAAAAATTTTGCAAATATTTTGCTAAGATAATTCCTCATAACACTGCTGTCTTGCTGAAATACTATTTACAAATAAATTATGCAAATATTTATCAATATTTGCACAAAAGTCTAAATTTCTACTATATTGTTACATTGAGACATAATGGCAGCATTTCCAATTTTATCCGAATTTCGTCAAATAGTGTTACAAATTTTTTTTTGTCGGGGTGGTTGCCACTCGGAGAGTTTTTACAGAATAAATTAACTAAAGAGTACTTATGATAGACAGACTTTATTATTCTTTATAGAGTTATACAAGAATTGCTATTTAATAGACATACTAACCTAATCTAATTATGCACATTCAGTGAACTATATACTATACTGGAATGTAAACTCCCATCTTGGTAACAAGAAGAAAAAGACGGATTGCTTTGGGTCCATTTGTGTCTCTGTTTAGCAAACTTTTAATTGGTCAATAGTATTCAATTGTTCTCAAAAAGTATAGCAACAGAAAAGGAAGGTCAGGCACAATTCTCCATCTCGCTCGTCTCAATTTCTTCTAGAGAAGAATTCATTGTGCACAACATATACATATTTTTTTTATGTCCTATCTATTCCAGCCAACCTCCGTTTCCTTATCTTTTTAACAGTTTGAATGACTTGATGCTTATCTTTACTTCCACTTCATCTTGATATCCCAAAACGTTATCCCCCTTTTTCCCTCTTAATCTCTCTTCTCTTCCTCTCTTTTTTCCTACAACAAAGCATACCAAAAATATATATTATTATTGTGTTCTTTACACTATATTTTGATAGTGTTGTATTTTGGTGTTTTGGGTGTATTTGTTTAATATTGATTTATTATATTATTGAATAGCATTTAGTATATCAATTTTTTTTTATTACTTTCCTGGAATATAAACACTGGTAATTATAAAGAAAGAGGGCAACCTCATATATGACCTCGACCATATCGTATTTCAATCATAGCTTTAAAATAGTTTGCCCAAATTTTCTCACGAGTAAAACGCTTTCTTATTCGTCTCGCCCACGGTCTTACATACAGGTCTCTCAACTCGTATGGTGGGGGATGGCTCGCTTAACGAAGCCAAAAGTTGTTCAGCTTGAGGCCGCTAGGATTGCTGCAATCGAAGGATGTTCTGTGCGAGTGACAGAGACAATAGTAGCGCATACGCATTATACCGTAATCTAAAGAATCCACAACTTCTACACTATATGTGTATATAGTAAATATATATATATATACAAGGCCCAGCAAACGAAAAAAGATTGAAAAAAATTAAAACGGGATTGCCAGGAATTCAATTAAGGACTTTCCGAATTCCATTCTGTCCAAAAAAGGGATTGAAATAGTTTCAATATCATGGAATTCCTTATTTTGGAAAAAATTTGTCTTTTTTGAATCCCATCCAATTCCGACACAAAAATATTATACCACTGAATGCCAGGTTAGGGATTGGAAAGTTTCGTGATAAATTCCATTGAATACCATTGATTCCGTTAACGAAATGAATACCATTGAATACCAAACTAGGAATTAAAAATTTCTGTATTGAATTCCATTGAATTCCGTCTATTCTGACAATAAAATAAATACCATTGAATGCCAGGATAAGGATTGAAAAGTGTCCGTGTTGAACTCTGTGGCGGTACGCGCCACCAATAGTACACGCCCGCGCGGTATCTGCATTACCGGCAGTTTGCGTCGACGCCGCTAGGCGTCGCATCGTCGGGGCATCTTCTCGAGTTCAAAGTTTCGTCTCGACCGCTATGTAAAGGGATCCCCTACGGGGCCTGACGGATCTTACAAATCTTATTTTCGGGCTAATTGCCCGTCGGCAGTAGTGCGTGTAATGCCCTTAGGCATACACAAAAGCTCACCGACAAACAACGGCGCTTAGTCGCCCAACGGAGGCGCGAGATGTTTCCTAAACCATCTAATGCCATGCAATTCCATAACCTTTACGGATTTCATAGGATTGGATGGAATTGAAATTTTTCTTTTTTGGATTCCATGGGATTGGACCATCTCATTTCGAATCCCATCTAATTTCATCTAATTCCGCCAAAAAAAGGGATTCAAAGGTATTAAAAAATTTTAATATCTTTTAATCCTTTTGCGTTTGCTGGGGGGCTACTCGCCACAAGTGCCCTCCTCGGCGCGCGGAGGTCGGGGGTCGGAACTCACGAGCCTTGACCCCCACCTACTCTCTGAGCAAGGCCGCGGGGGGGAGGAACCCGTCACCTCGGTGATGGCTACCTTCTCTCCTCCCCGCCCGAGGGGCGGGCGAACGGTCGGGGACCACCGTTCGCCCGCGGCTGCCACGGTAGCACCCCCGGAGGGGTGGCGGATGGAGATAATGTCACCCATCCGCCACAAGTTAGCTTAACTGTGGGGTTTTGCCAAAAGGGCAAGGCGTGACATGGCCCATGGTAGATATCTCAAGTTCCTGGGGCCTCCTCACAAAACGCCGTGAGGAACATCTGGGTGGGTTTTAGTGGGTTGGAGTCCCACATAAATGCCCTCCCCGCCCTGAGGGAGGGGGTATCCGTGCGGATTTCCCCCCCGTTAACAAAAAAAAGGTCAAGGTCATACATGAGGTTGACATTTTTCTGTATAATTACCAAAACACTTTGTGAGAGTAGGAAATCATTAAATATTTTGTTAAGAATTATCTTACTTGATTTATTTGTGATGACGAAATATTTGCCATAAATACAAGAAAACTATGATTGGTTTCATTTTTATCGATGGTCTGCAAATATTTTGTTCTTGTATTTAGAACTTCCTCAAGTTGCCTTTTATATTTTCTTGCTAATTCCAAAGCTCTAATTAAAAACATAAATGGATATTATACATTAGTTGCTTAATAAATATTAAAAAAGTAGAAAAGCATGAGTAAACAATACTTAGCATCTAATAAATGTATTCGATTTTTATTATACACAATACATTAAATATTTTATTTCTATAATAAACAAGGTATTTGATAATAAGCGTAACCCTTCTCAGTGGATAGATACAGTGAATAAAACTGAATAGAAAATTTTTTGCTGTTTTATGATTTTTGCAATAACAGACCGACAAAAAATTGTTGTTAAATAACTTTAATCAGAGTAGATGTTTCTTATAAATTTTCGGTCACAAAAACAATACCACTGTCCAAATTGCGGTAATTATGCATATTAAGACCCCACTTGCTGGTGGGGAGGCTCACGGAAGGTATGTTTGTGATTCCCGGGGCCTCCCCAAAAAGCGCCGTGAGGGACATTCGAGGGGGTTTTCAGTGGGTTAAAGTCCCACATAACCGTCTTCCTCACCCCGGGGAAGGGGGTATCCGTGTGGATTTCCCCCCGTTATAAAAAAAAACATGACCCTGAGTAAACTTGACTTTGGAAAAAGTGGCGGTCACGATCTGTTCAAAATTTACGAAGCATTAAAGTTTTTGCTTTACAAAATTAGTTGTATATCGCCGCAAATATTTACACAAATGATCGACTAACTTATCTTGTTTAATACCACCTCTACTTAAACGTGCTCGTAAAGCACGCCACGAACCCATGTGACAACTCGTTTCGCGTGGAAAGTATATGCGTGGAGGCTGTAGGTTCCGCTCCCCTGCGGGCGGCTCCACTATTATTAAACTAAACACATAGTGTGTCTTCAAAGTGCATGCGTTGGTGTTCCACTTCTTTAAAATTTTTATTTACTGCTTTAAAAGATTTTCCTTTGTTCGTACATGTACTATTTCCACATATATATTAGTCATTTACAAGATGACGTCGATCATCTGTGTGAATATTTGTGGCAATATACAACTAATTTTGCAAAGCAAAAACTTTAATGCTTCGTAACTTTTGAACGGATCGTGACCGTCACTTTTTTCAAGGTCAAGGTTACTCAGGGTCATGACCTTGACAACATATGTCAAGGTCAAGGTCAGTGGCGAGTGGGATCTTAATATGCATAATTACCCAAATTGCTCCATCATGTCAGGTTTTAAAGTTATTTTAAATGAATTTTAAGATGAAAAATCAGTGATTTATAGGGAAAAATGTATAATAAATCACTAACCGTCAATAAAATAATACAAATAATTGAAATGTTTTATTTATATATTAATTTCTTATTAACAAGGATAAAAAAATTGTCTCAAATAGCAATAATGTCTGTTAAGAATATAGTACGTAAAAATGGCATATTTTTCATGTTTGGTAAAATTAGTGAAAACCAATAGTCAGATTTCAATGTTATTAAGTACTTGCTTTGGCAGTAGGGGAGACCGGGGCAAAGTCGTCACCGGGGCGGAGTCGTCACTACAATTATCTCGAAATCTGCATGTTGTGTGAACTTGCCATTAATATTGTAAACGCTACTTATTGTGCCCATATGACCAACGGAGTTTAGTAAGATTATATGCCATGTTGTGATTAAGGCAAACGTGTTTTCGAAGGTTAAAAGTGAAATTTTTTGCGCGTCGAAAATTTTTAATATTTTAAATATTATTTTCTCTCCGAATCTCGAGATAAGTGATTCTAAAGAGTAATGCATGCTGAACACGAATCCAGTAAAGTTTTTTTATTTTCGTTGATTTCTAATATTTCATGAGCGATCAAACTTAAAATCTATGTCCGGGGCGTCACCAAGCCACCGGGGCGGAGTGCACGTCCAGTATGCGAGGGTCATGACGACTTTATCCCGGTGGTTTCACTCTATTTTTCGTTTCAAATGCGTCATTGTATTTCTCAATTGCAAGAAAATGGTACGCACGTACCATCCAAAACGACTCCCGTCGACAAGAAGCATCTCAGAAAGGCAGTTCTTGCGGTGAAAAAAGATAAAATTAAGACAAAATAAGACAAAATAAGACAAAATTAAGACGAAAGATAAAATTAAGACAAAAAGTAGCCGCAAAACAGTTTAGAGTCTCGAGAACTACGTTGAACAACTGGCTAAAGAAGAATAATGATGAAATAGCATATTTGGATGCCGTGGCCGTACGATATCATGGAGGCTTCGGGCGAAAATCAAAGTCAAAAAAGCAGCAGTGGTCGGATTCCGACGAGGACTTGGATAATATGTGCTGCATGTGCTCAGAGATAACAGAGAACAGAGCTGATGAAAAACAGTGCATTTCATGCGAGCGTAGGGTACATAAGTGCGTAGGGTGCGTGCGCTTTTCTTGTAATTATTTTCCGCCATCGTGTTTTTAATTAATGTTTCCATTTTTTTTATTAAAAAATAATTAATAAAATATATTCTATCATTTTTCATGATCGGAATTATGAATTTTCATTTAAAATCCAGTCCAAGAATGGAGTGACGATTCCGCCTCGGCAATTTTGACATTTTAATTTTTGCACCGTTGTCGTTTTTACTCTATACCGGTTGAACAAAGCGACGTAGACCAAAAATGCCCTTATAAATTTTGTAGGGATTCACTCTTTACAACGGTATACCACATTTTACTAAAATTATTTGTTTTGTTGTTAAAAATCGGCACCGAAAAAATAGTGACGACTTTGCCCCGGTCTCCCCTACATATATACTATAAAATTGGAACGATAGAGAAGATTAGTGTAACCTTTACACAAGGATGACACGCAAAATCGTGAAGCGTTTCACATTTTTGTGAGGGCAGTGTGGTCTAGTGGCATAAATGCCCTCGAAACCGCGAAGACTCAGGTTCGAATCCGTCTGGCCATTTTAATATTTTACCTTTTAGAAGAGAGACCTTAAGCCGTTCCAGTATTTATTTAGAATACGGGCCTGAACGCAAATATAGATAAAATTATGTTCAATCGGCGCGTTTTTGCACGAAATGAAAGAATCTGACTGATAAACGCGGCGGTCTGCCTCGCGAAGCGAGATATTAATCGTTAAAGTTGACGACTATTTGGGTTAGAAAATCTGATATATCGACGAAATGCAGCGATACGAGCATGCGCTTTGGCCACTTGCGCATGCGCTGTGGCTACAATCACGTAATTTTAAAAAAGTGAAGCGCGCCAATGTATCCTGTTACGTACTCGTAGCTGTCAGAATTGACCAAAATTATTTAACCCTTTCAGTCTCATAATTAAGGGAATAGCCAAATAACTACAAAACGCATTGAGTATATGGTTTTCGGGGTCACTGATTACGAATCTGAAATCAGATTTTTAAAATTCAAAATGGCGGATCCAATATGGCGGACGAATTTGTAAAAATCAACCGGATTCGCTTGAAACTTGTTACTCGGGAGTTTTCGGGGTCGCTGATTAGGAATCTGAAATCAGATTTTCAAAATTTAAAATGGCAAATCCAATATGGAGGACAAATTTTTAAAAATTAATGCGGTTGATTTTTAAAAATTCGTCCG